GAATATGCAAATATTGCTCAAAGTCTAGCGCCACAATAGGCTGTAAAGTATGCAAGGGATATTTTCATATAACTTGTGGCCATCTTAACGAATGTTTATTTCAATTTGTGGGAGAATTTAATTCATATTGCCACGCTTGTCTGCCTTTAAATGATTACCAACAACAATTGATGAATTCCAAATGTTCCGGCGATCAAGCTGTATGTTTTATCTGCACTAAGCGTATGTACAATTATCATCCTAAAAATTGGATTTATGCCGAGTGCTGTAAAAATGGGTTTGTTCACAACTTATGCATGCAAAAATACGCCTTAAGCGCTGGCTACTATTTGAAATGCATTTGGTGTAAGAGCGGGGAATTTCGAGATGCGGTAAAGCTGCAGGGCATATTTGTGCCGGATCGTGATGCAAAGTGGGAGCTTGAGCCGAATGCCTACAGAGATTTGCATTGCGGCTACAATCGTTGTGACATGACAAAATGCAATTGTCCTAGAGGGCGTGAATACGTTGAATATATAGAAGGACGTAAGTGGTTTTTGACCCTATGCAAGCTTTGTGGCTCCTTTGGTGCTCATAATCCGACTTGCATACCGGGATTTGAAAATTCCAAAGAAAAGGTTGAAGACTTCAAATGCGATAGGTGCTTGACAATCGAACATTCTCTTTGCTTATCGCCTGAAACAGAAAAAAGTATTAATGGATTGTTTGATGCGAGTCTTTATATAAGCAAAGCTCAAATTAACCCACCATCACCATTTTTGCTACATGGAAATTCAGAATTTTCAGACGATAGCACGTCTTCGATGGTTACGGTTATATTCTCTCAAAACAACAACAATGGAAAAAGCGTTCCTGATGAAGTAACAGACACATATGGTTTAGTTGAGAACATTGACGAACCTGTGCAGGCTTTAACTTCAGGCATGGATCGACTCTGTTGCGACCCCAATGATGATGAGAATGTCGATCTAGATATTGATGAAATGCAATCAGATGACGAATTCTTAATTTTAGATATGTACGAATTCACTGATTCTCTCGATTGCTTGGCCAAAGTTAAGGTTAAAGTAAAACTTAATGATGCACGTTTTGCTGGCAAAACGTTGGATGAAATAAAATGTAGTAAAAATTTGATTAATGCAGAAGATATTGTTGAGCGCAGTGACGATCTAAGCATTATAAACGAATTTGATAAAATTATTGATGCTTTGAAATAAAATTTCTCGTTTTGTATAATTTGCATAACTCGTTTCCAAGATAAATATTTAAGCTCTTGTAGCGATCAGACTTGTAAAATGCTTTTTGTATCAAAATTAGACAGTTTAATTTTACGTCACATTTCTGAATTTACGCGAAGTGATTTATGCACTCCAGATAATTTTATTCTGGTACAAAGAAACCACTCAACTTACTTTTTTATATAATGGAAACTGACCAGTAATGTTCTTTCTTCTCCAGGATTGAGTAAACGTTTATCATTGTTTCACAGTATACAAGCGTTTTCCATCACAGAAATTATTATTGCAATTATAATTTCTGGCTATCAATTGCTTTCAATAACATGGACATATCCACATTTCCACAGTGTAAATTATTAAAAAAAAATTGCCCATAACTTATTCGATAATTAAATGCGTAATCAGCAATAGAAATAGTATGCGTCCATTTGAAATTTCTCTTCGGTCTTATATATCACCTCTATGTTTATTAGCATTAACATGCTTCTGTCTGTTCAATTATTATTAATTTATTTAATTTTCTTATTTTTAATATAAAAGCATCCCGGCCACTTCGCTTGTTACACCCAATTTCTTTTCAGCTCTCTTCACATTTGCGTATCTAGATAAGCACTTCAAAAAAATTGTTTATAATAACATATACATTACCGTAATATTATTGGATGATTGGCAAAGAATAAAATTATAAATGTAATAAATTTTCATAAAAGTAAAAGTTGTTTTACAAATTCGCAATTATTTTGTATGACATATTTGCAAGGGAAATTGCATGAATCCTTTGGAAAAGAGAGAACCTTCTATTTTTTATTGTGTAAAAAATAGTTATGATTGGACACAAAAGTGGGTAATAAGTTAAGTAATATGTCGAAATTTAAAATTTATCCCTTTCGCCGCTTTGGAAACATTATTTATTTTTTCTCTTTCTGGCTAATTAATAAGATTTTATGGGTTTTCGGAATTCATAACGCAGTTCAAACTATTTATATACTACGTAAAGAACTTTTTTACCTCCAATATGCCTTATCAAAATTATTACTGAAATGTAATAAAATCGAAATAAATGCTTTTTCATTACGGAAACGATGCAAACGCAGACTAATGGAGCAGTTAAGCATCTTAAGATTAAATGACTGTGACATTTATATCCCACTTTATACCTGAGAAAAACATATTTTCAACGCTAATGGAAATCTACTTTTAAAATGGATCCGGCTCTCAAGATTAATTAGAGCTTTGGTTGTGTAAATAACATTAATTTTTTATTGCTTTCGTACTGCGCCAGAGATAGGCGGATTAGGCGCTTTTTGTTGCTCCTTTTTATATAATCTGTCGTTCGATAAGTTCGTGGAATGATATGCAGATACAGTTGGACTATTGAAGGATCCATATGATATTCAATTTTCAAACGGTATGTATTAGTCTTTCATGACTTTGGTTTATAAGTTGCAACAGTTCTAGTGTGGTTACACACGAAATTCAGATTTTTCCATTGTTTTACCAAAACCAAACTGACAATATCTTCACATATGTATATTATTTATATCTTTAACAGGCGACTGTTTCTTAAAGAGTGTTTCTTAAAGTCAAAGCATATTAAAGACACGTATAAATAAAAATATATGAGGACATATTCATTGAATACTAATAAAGCTTTATCGTTACTGAAGTTTCATTAAAAATCAGCGAATAATTTACAACCGTACGAGGGTAAAACTCAGCGAAAGTGAAAAAACCGGAAAAAGTTTATCATTTACTCGAATTTTCGGTTATTAATATTTAACACAAGGAGGGAAATGATCTCTCGCTGCAGCTAAATAATAAAAAGCATTATAGGCGGAGAAGGCCGACCGTTCAATACCCTACACCACATTGTCGAACACAATGCTTATTTTTATTCTAGAAGACAAAAATTACATCTTGCTTCTATATCAAGGCAATTTTTCAAGGGCGTGTTTATGGGCAAGCGGGCCCAAAACGCAAATGCAATGTAGTGCAAAATTAATTCTTACATAGGGCAGGACACAAAAATAGGCGTAGACGGTCCAAAATTTCTACAGGTCATTTTTGTATGAAGTTACTATATTATTATGGGTCAATTTTCACCATCACATATTAAAACTTAGATTTATCTGCTCTAAAAAGGGTCAATTTCCTTGAAAATCCTTATAAGGGATCCGTTTAATTTTTTTATGTTAAATTACTGTTATGGTGTAGTGTTCTTCAAGAACTATTAAAAATTACATCTTGTTGTCGTGTGAAGTTCAGTTTTCGCTATAGTTGCGAGTTGAAAAATTGCCACAGCCGTTATAAAGTTTTCACTAAATTAAAAAAAGAAAAAAAATCAATGGCCCGAGTTGCGATCTCTACTTTTAGTAGATTTTCATAATCTAATTTTAAAGTTATGATGGTAGCTATCAGAGAGAGCTAATAAGAAGCGAAGCAAAAATTATTCTCAAAATAGAAACCAATGTACATCGTAATGTTTGTTGATGCAACGGAAATCGCTATTTGACTACTTGCCACCTAACCCTACTGAAAGCTTTCGTAAAAACATTTTCACGGAACCAAAAGCTAAAAAAAAAAGAATACGAAAAAATTGTGTGGGTGTTTTTCTGGGTTGTCATATTTTCTAACCCACTGAATGTGCGTACGTAGATAGCAACCATTTTTACCCCATTAGTTCTTAATCGATTAAAGAATATTTACGCCGAACTTCACCTTCTGATCTTCATATTTCCGTCTATGGCGATTTAATAAAAAAAACGGGATCAAAATGATGAAAAGAGGATTGAAATCCAATACTTGGGCAGTTCTAGTGGTAAGCAACAAAGTAAAAGGTTATAAATAAAAAATGTAATTTTACGATACCGATCTGGCCAATCAACTGCTGCCTTCTTTTTTCCCCGACATAAGTTACGGCAAACAAGGCAATGAGAAGTAAAGGTACTACGGGGGCCACCAATCAGGCGGGTATGTAGTACCGATGAAAATCTTCATTTTAGATTTGAATCACCGACGATCGTTGAGTCGCGGGTTCAAATCTCAGATGCGGTTGAATTTTACAGAAAGCCGATAGCCTAAGAAGCTAGAGCTTTAGGGCTTTAGAATTTATTTCCCCGGCTAAATTAATAATAATACTAATAATAAT